GGACCTCGGGTCTATCAGCGCTGTCTGTGACCGAGGGCCGCTGGGAGGAGCCACAGGCATTTGTTGAACTTTTATATTATTTTTTATATTATATTATATTATATTATATTATATTATATTATATTATATTATATTATATTATATTATATTATATTATATTATATTATATTATATTATATTATATTATATTATATTATATTATATTATATTATATTATATTATATTATATTATATTATATTATATTATATTATATTATATTATATTATATTATATTATATTTATAGAACTTTCTCTGAAGTGAGTTTCTTCATAAAGGCCTTGATCGTGTTTGTATCTAATTCGATATCGATATTTATAGATATCCGTATGTTTCATATCGTTAATCGGTTTGTCCATTATTTCTTGTTCATTTCCTGCTGGAGTCAGTTCAACATGTTGGGAACTACAGCGTCACGGAGTCGTGTTTTATTTTTTTTTTATTATTTTTTTTTTCTTGTCTACACTGAGTCTAGACCAGAGATTTCCATCTTCACTGTTTTTAAACATACAAATTCAGGGGGAAACGAGCTCGACCTATTAGGAGGTGAAACATGATCAGTCAGATCGATACCATCTGAGATCACTTCCACCACCAAAGAGCCTTCATCCTCATCCTCATCCTCAGCCTCAGCCTCAGATTTTAGTTCGTTTATTACAGGAATGATTTCAGGTCAGAAAAACCTGTCAGCGTTTCCTCCATCACTGTTCCACTGCCCTTCAACACCAGATTCTTTTTTTTTTCTTCTTCTAATCAGGACAGCTGGACTTCATCTTTCTTCTTCTTTCCTTGTTGTTTTCCCACAGATCGTTGTTGGAGATTTTAGGACAACTATTCCTTCCACTAAAACATTGGGAAACAGGAGGAAATCTCTCGGTGAGTGGAACTTTATTTTGGTTTGATTCGCTGTGGAGTTGGTGCCGCTGCAGGGCCGCGGGCCTGGTGTGTGTGTGTGGTGTGTGTGTGTGTGTGTTTGTCGTGTTACTCATTAGTCTTTATTAGAGCTGGAAACTGAGGAAGAAAGAAAAAAATCTCTGTCTAAAATCTCTCTCCTTCGTCACATCCGTTCAGAAAAAAAAAGTTTAGGATCAAACGAGTCAAAGTTGGAATGATTTTATTTGAGGAGTTTATGAGTTTGTTACATTTTATTATTTAAACATCAGCGTTTTTAGCTGAACGTCAGTGAATTCTTTAAATCTTATATATTTAAGCAACAAAGGTATTTTATTGTTATTGTTGTTGTTGTTGTTGTTTTATAACATTTATATAAATCGTCACTCCGTTGTAAATCTACCGATTTTTAAAGCCGTTATTTAAATGAAAGAGACGGGAACATGAAGACGGTGAATCGGATATTTTCGATCAAATGTTTCGGATTTTTTATTATTCGCAATTTGTTTTTAGTTTTACTTTGTTTTTTAACTTTGCTTAAATAATCGAACGAAATTCGTTTACGGGAGTCGCGGAATGAGCGCGAAATCCCTCCTCTCAAAACACAGAACACACACACACACGAACACACACTAACACACACAGACTGTGTAATTTCTTATGCAGTGACAGATACTAATGTAAATGTAATATGTAATATAAGAGAGAGAGAGAGAGAGAGAGTCAGTTAATCATTTAAAAAAACACACACGCCACATTAACGGTCACAGTCACTCATCAACACATTTGCAGCAAAAACAACAACAACAAAAAAACATAAAACAAACAAAAAAGTTTTGAAAAAAATGCAGCCCTACATCCAGACAGAGCCCATTCACAAAGACAAATATTCAACTATGGAATAATAAAGGCATAACTAATGATTCCGTCTAAGGGTTTCGTGTTTAGAGCCACTCCTATAGAGTAAAAGTTCATGGAAAAATATACATTAAAAAAAAAAAATAATAATAATCGCGATTTCACAGTCACTGAGAAATTCCTCGGTGTCATCGTCAGTAACCTGCGGGTTTCTAATCCAAGAAGAGAGAAGGAAAAAGAAAAGAAGTGAGGGGTGGAGGTGAGGAGGGTGAGGGGGGGGGGGTGTAAAGATGGCTCCCATGCCTCTGCAGGGCAAAGATAGTTTCAGTTGTGAAACTCAATATCCGTGACTCGATCCGAAACACGGAGGCGCCGGTGCCGCGTCTTCCTGCTGCCGCGTCCAAGAAAAATAAAGAAGAAGAAGAAGAAGAAGAAGAAGAAGTGCCGTTTACTACAAGTCACTGCAAAAACACAGACTGCAGAATAATACTGCTGCTGCTGCTGCTGCTGCTGCTGCTGCTGCTGCTGCTCTTCACACACTCTGACTCCATACAAAGAAAAAAGGAAAAAACAGCAGAAATGACAAAGAGGGGGAAAAAAAGTAGCTGATCAGAGGTTTGGTTAATGAGTGATGAGTGATTTCAGCAGCCGTTTGCAGATTCCTCTCTGCTGGAGCGGAACAACGAGAGAAAAAGAACAAAAAAACAAAAACAAAAACACAAAAAAACTGTCTGTCGCAGCAGAGATTTAAAAAAAAAAATCTTCTTCTTCCACCTCCACGGAGCTCATCCTCTCATTCCAGCAGCCCACAGCGAATGATATCTGTTTATTTATTGGACTGTTTATACACACACACACACACACACATACACATCCTCTCTCTCTCTCTATCTCACACACACACACACTACTGGGCGAGAGAACTCATAAATCTTACGTAGCCATAAACGACAGCAGTAACGTCCTGAATAATACAAATACAGTGGAGAGAGAGAGAGGGAGAGAGAGGGAGAGAGAGGGAGGGAGGGAGAGAGAGAGTGACTGAGTGTATTTTCATTTCCGTCTCCTTTTCTCACCTCTCTCTCTCTCTGTTGTTTCCCCCCTCTGGGTTTTCATGTCATGTCAGTCTTGTTCTTGTTCTTTTTTTTTTTTTTTTTCTTCACCTCTTCATGTTGTTGCTCTTCCTGCCGCTCTGCTCCTGCAGGAGTCGGTGTCAAAGTCCACACACAGACCTGGCTCCAAAACAGAAAAGAGAGAGAGAAAAAAACAAAAACAAAAGTTGAGATGAAGTTCAGTCACTGATCCTTTACATCATATATATATATATTAATATATATATTTATATATATTTACTCAGGCAGTCTGTAGTGTCCGTGTTGAGTGGCGCCTCCTCTGGACCGCGGCCTCCATCTTTGGTTCGATTTACTTCCCCTGTGAGTTGAGGTGTTGAGATTTAAACCACACCACGTGACTCATGTCAAATAATAATAATAATAATAATAATAATAATAATAAATGTCAGTAAATATGAGGGGAATTTAAATCCCAGGGAAAAACGTAAACATCTAATCCTGACAACTGCCTCCAAGTGACGTCATATTTCTGTTTGTCCACCCACTTTCCAAAACTGCTAATATAAATATGGTTGTAGTATTTACTGTAAACCTGTAGTATTTACCAAACACTACTTCCAGAGTGTAGTACAATATCATACCATGTAGTACAAGTACACGTGAGTTATGATTGTACTTTTAGTGCGAAGTAACATCGTCAGAATCCAAACCACGTGACGTCACGAATGTGAATTTACTCTGATTTTTATAAAAGTAAAAATAAATAAATAAATAAGGGCATTTTTATAAAAGTAAAAATAAATAAATGGGGCCAAAATAAGAGTTAAAATATTCATTAAACTCACTGAGTTTATATTATTATTTTTGTTTGTTTTGTTTTGGTGAAAGTTTAACTGACAAATATGAAAATGAATGACGTGATTTAGTTTTGTATTTACAGGGACATATATAATACATATAAAATATAAGACAAATATAAACATTATTCTATTTTAAAACATTTATTGGTTTGATCTGAAATCAAAGAACTCAGATTAGGTGTTACCAAAACTGAGGGTCGAGGCTAAAAAGTGGGTCGATGGGACACATTTGTGGCCCGAGTTGCCTGATATCATTTATAGACTACGTGTTTTATCTAGTACTACATGAAGTACTACAGCGTGTCTACTGACACTACAGTTACTAACAAGTACTTTAAAAAAAACTTTTAGTCTGTACCATGATGTGAGTAAAAGACAAATACTTTAGTTTTATATACTTTAGTATTTGAGTCACAAACAGGAATCTGACATGATTGGATGAGATGTGACCAAAAGGGAGGGTCACGGTCCAAGAGTGGGTCAAAAGGATTAATTTGTGGTCCAATATGTGGTACTACATGTTCTTAAATATACTTTTGGACCGCGTTACTACAAAGTATTTTTTAAGTACTAATGTACTGATATACATACACATTAGAACAGGGGGCGCCCGCAGTACTCCAAATACAAGTGTAGTTTATTATAATACAAGTATCTACTACTAAATACTATTCGCTCTACAACAAAAATCTGCAGTACACGCAGTAAACTAACATATACACGAAATATTCATTATTTATAAATAACTTTATTAAAACTGACATTTTTTTTGTATAAAAAAGTCAGATTATGGTCATGACTGAGATTATCTGGGAATAAAACCGAACCAGGACCAGAACCAGAACCAGGTCCAGACCGGATCCTGGTCCTCTGGTCTTCTGGTCTGGAGATCCTACATTTATATTCAGTTGACTGAAAAGTACTGTGTTAAACTTCAGTACTTCACCTGGGATTATAATCCTAATCTGTGACTGACTGGGACGGTTCGTTGTCGTTACGCACGCGCGTGCGCGCGCTTTTTTTTTTATATCAACAATGGCACGAGAACAGCGACTACACAACAACCTCCACCAGCAGCAGCACCTGCTGTTACTGTCACAGTGAAGCCGTAACGGCTGCAGCTTTGAGCTGCGTGAGACTGAGTGACGCTCCTTCTCCGAGTGGAGCGACGGGAGGCAGGAGCTGTCGGCCGGAGGGAGGAGCGGGGGACGCGGCGGCACAGAGACGCCGAGACCCGGCGAGGACAGAGAGGGAGAAGGGAACGCGTTAAAGTCCTTCCTAAAAAATGCTATGGGGTGACATCTTCTCTTGGACCTCCTCTTCCTCCCCCTCCTCCTCCTCCTCCTCCTCTGGGGGTGACGGGCTGTAGTGCAGCTGAAGATGGTTGGAGCGACACAGGCTTGAAGGAGCCAGAAGAAATCGGAGGCCATTGTTATCAGCAGCAGGAGCAGCAGCGGTGCAGGCGGTGCTGGTGCTGGCTGCTGCCTGGTGCTGCTGGGGCGAGAGGGTGGCGGCGGCGGCGGCGGCGGTGGTGGTGGTGGAGGAGGGGGGGTCGCGGAG